CAAGGAGGGTCACCAGCAGAGACATGAAAGAGAAGAGAACATCTCTCTCCTCAAAGCCCAATCCAGCATAACAGAAGAAGCAACTGCTCTACCATGCCTCTGCTTTATTTCTGATTTTAATCATTTCTGTCTTCTCTTTTTTTTCCCTGGTCTAGATAAAGTTTTGCAAATTTTGCTATCTTTTCAAAGAATCAAAAAAAAAAAAAAAAAGACTATTAAGCAGTCTGCAAAGCACCATTGATGTAAATATTACCAAACATTAACTTTATTTAATTCTGCTAGGGTATAATAATCTTTACATATACTATGTAACTTATTAATTATGTAACTATTATTCATTTTCTTCGACAGATTTTGTTATGGGAGACTGAAATCAAGCTCAAAACTCATTTCTCAAAATCAATAAAGAAAAAAAAAAAAGAAAGAAAGGTCTCCATTGTATTGATGAAGCAAAAATGTCCTTAAAAAAAAAAATGAGGGCTTAAAGAACAAAGATTAACCAAGATTACCTGTAGGCTTAAGAGTCAAAGAGAAATATGAGAAATTACAGGAAACCATGAGTGAAGTCATAATTTACAGTGTTTTTCTAAGGCACTGAGTGACCAGAGAGAAGATTACCATTTTCTTCGAATAAACACACTAAGGCATGAGTGTCAAAGTAGAGCTTTCTATTCCCAGAAGAGGTGAAATCTCTTCTTTTGTGTCCCAGCTGCAGGTACCCAGCAGACAGGCTTAGCTCTAGGATGCAAAGGAGAGTAAATAAGTTCAAAACAGACTTAACGGCAAGAAGAAGCAACTCAACACCATGAAAAAATAAGACATAATAATAGATTCATTGAGATATAATTCACATACTGTACAATCTACCCATTTACAGTGTACAATTCAATTGTTTTCAGTTATTTACAGAGTTGTATAACCATCCCCACAACCAACTTTAGAACATTTTCTTCATCCCCAAACAAACTCTGTACCCTTCCAATGCCCCAGTCCTTCCCCACTATCTCCACCCCTACCCAAGGCAACCACTAACCTGTCTCCTGTCTCTATTGTTTGCCTACTCTGGAGATTTTGTATAAATGGAATCATACAATGTATGGTCTTTTATAACTGGCTTCTTTCACTTAGCATGTTTTCAAGGGTCATCCATGTTGTAGCACATGCCAGTACTTTATTTTTTTGTATTGTTGAATAATATTCCACTGTATAGCTATACTGATTTTTGTTTATTCATTTATCACTTGAAGGACACTTGAGTTTTTTCTACTTTCTCGGCTATTATGAATAATTAAGTGGATGCTATATTTTCAACTCCCTTGAGTATATACCTAGGAGTGGAATTGCTGGATTATATTGTAACTCTTATGTTTAATTGTTCCAGAAACTGCCAGACTGTTTTCCAAAATGGCCAGCTATACCATTTTACATTACAGCAGTGTATAAGGGTTCCAATTTCTCCACATCCTTATCAACACTTGTTATTATCTGTTTTTGTCTGTTTGTTTTTAATTATAATCATCCTATTGGGTATAAAATGGTATATCATTGTGGTTGCAATTAGCATTTCCCAGATACTAATGAGGTTCAGCATCTTTTTATGTGTCTATTGGCCATTTGTATATCTTCTTTGGAGAAATGTCTATCCAAGTCTGCTACAGTTTGAAGGTGTCCCCCAAAATTCGTGTGTTAGGAACTTAATCCCCAATACAACCCTGTTGAGAGACGGGAACTCTAAGAGGCTGATTAGGTCATGAGGTCTGCCCTTATGAATGAACTAATGCTGTTATCACAGGAGTGGGTTAGTTATACAAGTGAGTTTGGACCCCTCTTGCTCTCTCAAGTGCTCTCTAGGCCTTCGGCCTTCCACCATGGAATGACCCAGCAGGAAAGCCCTCGCCAGATGCAACACCCTTGCTAGATATGAGCCCCTCAACCTTGGACTTCCCAGCTTCCAATACTGGGAAATAAAGAAAGAAATAAATCTCTTTTCTTTGTAAATTACCCAGTTTGTGGTATTCTGTTATAGCACCACAAAACGGACTAAGATAAAATCTTTTGCCCATTTTTAATTAGGTTGTCTTTTAATTACTGAGCTATAAGAGTTCTTTATATATTCTAGATACAAGTTCCTTATCAGATCATGATTTGAAAATATTTTCTCCTGTTCTGTGAGTTGTCTTTTCACTTTTTTTTTTTTTTTGGGCGGCTGGGCAGTTTAGGGAACTGAACCCTTGACCTTCGTGTTACAAGGCGTCTTTTCACTTTTGGATAATGTCCTTTGATGCACAAAAGTTTAATTTTGATGAAGTCCAATTAGTCTGTTTCTTCTTTCATTGCTTGTGCTTTTGGTATCATATGTAAGAAACCATTGGCTAATCCAAGTATACAAATATTTACACCCATGTTCTCCTCTAACAGTTTTACAGTTTTAGCTCTTACATTTATGTCTTTGATCCATTTTGAGTTAATTTTTGTATATGGTGTAAGGTAATGGGTTCAGCTTCCTTCTTGCACATGTGGATGTCCAGTGTCCCAGCACCATTTCCTCCACTGAATATCTTATCATCCTTGTTGAAAATCAATGAGCTGTAACTGTGATGGTTTATCTCTGGGCTCTCCATTCTATTCCATTGGTCTATGTCTGTCCTTATGCTAGTGCCATGCCTTCCTGATTACCTATACCTCTGCTGTAAGTTCTGACATCGGGAAATGGTTTTACTTTTTTTTTTTTTTTTTTTTTTTTTTTTTTTTTTTGGCGACTAGCTGGTATGGGGGTCCGAACCTGTGACCTTGGTGTTCTGAGCTAACCAGCCAGCCCAGGAAGTGGTTTTTAAACTTTGTTCTTTTTCAAGATTATCTGGCTATTCTGCATACCTTGCATTTCCACATGAATTATAGATTCAGTGTGTCAATTTCTACAAAGAAGCCCCTACGGATTTTGAAAAGAAATGTGTTAAATCTATAGAACAATTTGGGAAGTACTGCCATCTTTATACTAAGTATTTATATCAACGAACATGGATGTCTTTTCACTTATTTAGGTCTTCAATTTCTTCAACATTTTATAATTTTCAGAATGTAAGTTTCATGTTCTTTTGTTAAATTTATTCCTAGGTATTTTATTCTTTTTGATGCTATTGTAAATGGAATTTTTTTCTTAATGTCATTTTTTTTTTTGTGACCGGTAAGGGGATCGTAACCCTTGGCTTGGTGTCACCTGCACTGCGCTCAGCCAGTGAGCGCACCAGCCAGCCCTATATAGGATCCGAACCCGCGGCCTTGGCGCTCCCAGCGCCGCACTCTCCCAAGTGAGCCACAAGGTCGGCCCCTTAATGTCATTTTTGGACTGTTCATTGCTAATGTTCAAATATACACCTGATTTTGTACATTGATCTTATATCCTGCAACCCTGCTAAACTCATTTATAAGTTTTAATAGTTTTTTAGTGGGTTCCTAAGGATTTTGTATGTACAAGGTCATGTCAACTGAGAATAGTGATAGTTTTACTTCTTCCTTTTCAATTGGGGTGCCTTCTATTTCATTATCTTGCCTAACTGCCCTGATTGAACTTCCAGGACAATGGTGAATAGAACAGTGAGAGCAGGCATCCTTTTCTTATTCCTGATCTTAGGGGGAAGGCATCCAGTCTTTCTCCACTAAATATGATGTTAGTTGTGGGTTTTTTATAGATGCCCTTTATCACTGAGGAAGTTCCCCTCTGTTTTTAGTTTACTGAAGTTTTTTTTAATCATAAAGGGGCACTGAATTTTGACAGATGCTCTTTCTGTATCTGTTGAAATGATCATGTGGGTTTTGTCTTTTATTCTATTAACATGGTATATTACATGAATTGATTTTCAGATGTTAAATGAACTTGACATTCCTGGGATGAACCCCACTTGGTCATGGTACATAATACTTTTTATATGTTGCTAGATTTCTTATGATAATATTTTGTTGAAAATTTTCTCATCTTTAATCATAGGAGATATTAGCCTATAGTGTTCTTTTCTTGTGATGTCTTTGCAAAAGCCTATCTCTAAAGAGAGATATTCTAACAATCCTTATATTACCTTTAAATGTTCATGCATTTAACCACAGATCCAACCCATTTTGTAAACTTATTTCAAGGTACCCATATTTGAGGGAGGACAATAGTATATATACAGTTTCCTGGCTTTTTTTTTTTTTTTTTTTTTGGTCTTTTTTGTCTTTTTCCGTGTCTGGCAACGGATCGCAACCCACAGTGTTGCCCCCGTACCGGACTGGGGACCGGCAACGGGATTGCAACCCTCGGTGCTGCTCCCGCACCTCGCTCAGCCAGTGAGCGGGAACCGGTCTGTATGTGGGATCCGAACCCTCGGGCGGGAGCGCCGCCACGCTTCCCAAGCGGCGCACTTATCCAGTGCGCCACCGGGCCGGCCCAGT